AGATGCAACGCCTCTGCCCCACAATGTTTTACACTCTGTAACTTGACACGTCGGCAGCTAACAGCTAACTCGGTTAAGCTGCAGGTCAACAGCTCAGGGTCGCTGCGTTCTCACCCTCGTCTGAAGTGAGAATGTTTTGTTTCATTTTGTTCTAGTCAATAAAAAATGATGTCTTCCTTCGTGAGAAGGCCGAACAAGGACATCCAGGTGATGCTGAAAAATGATCTCCAGCAGATAACGAGTTTAACAAGTTGGAACTGTTTTTCTAACTAAGAGTTAACAGCAAGAAAAGCCAGGTGGTTATTCAACATCGAAATGTTTGCTGCGTCATGCCATGTGCACTCATGTCCCCCGATTACTGATGCTGATCAAACTGGATAATCCCTTTTATCTGTAGCCCAGAGGATGATTTCCAAACAGAATTGAAAATTTTGCTTTCAGACCCCAGAAACAGTTTGAACAGTTTTTCATGTTACCTCAGTCCTTAAACAAGCAGAGAGTTTGTGGATCTTGGCCATGTATGAGTGTGCTTTGCATCATATAGTTTTGACTTGTGGATGCAGTGATGACGATGGTTTGGGGACGTGTTCCCGAGCTCATGCAGTGATTCTACTCCAGCAGTGTCTCCAGCTATTGGTTTACAGCCTCGTCTCTTACATACAGAGATTAGCTGTAGATGATACCACCATTTCTGATACTGATCATCTATTTGCCCACACGGTTTTTCACAGAATGGGAAAGCCATCCTCATCATTCCACCTGGAAGACTCTGCTTCTTTGGATGCTCCTTTAACTGTACATCCATTTTTTTTTTTGAGCAAAGGCGTGTGTGCCCTCATTCATTGTGTTGTTATGTGCGGCCGACATTTGTCGTGATTCCTTCTGTCACACTCAGCCTGACAAAGTCTGTCAAATTCAGTGGTGGAAACTAGATGCATCCTCTCAGATGTTCAAGTTTTTAATTTTAATGCTCAGATTGCACAACATTTTTTTTGTTGTTTGTGTACTTTTTTTAAAATAAATAATAAATACTTTTAGTCCCTCAAATGTTTTTTGATTATTTCAGCTTTGCCTGTGCCTTTAAAGGGAAAATGTTCAATTCAAATGTGATGGGTTAAACCAAACAAACCCTTTCCATGCTCTGTAAATGCTGTAAAAAAGTATAAATAGGGGAACATTTTATGTGGCTTGGGTTGTGGTTATTTACTAGAGCGTGCTTTACATTCTGTGGTTGAGCCATGGCATGGAGTTTTGTCACGCTAGAGTTGTAAGAGCTGACAGTAGTACCCTTGCAGCAGGGTGTGTGTGGTTTCTGGTAACCAGCGGTTGTCTTGGGATCTTTCATGACATCTATTCACCTTGTAAACACAAGAGTAAGGGCTTGTTATCCCAAGCTCAACACACAAGAAGCTCTTCCTTCCCATGTGTTGCAGTTTTCAGTGAAACAGCTGCATTGTCACTTTATCATGTCCCATTTAAGGTTCTGTCTTCTCCATCTGGAAATATATATATATGGTTGT